CCTTTCATATCTCCTAGTCTCCCTTCTCTCTAGTTTCTGTAGGTTTTACTTTTTGGGAGATTCCTTGGGTTTTTTTCCAATTCTTTTATTGATTAAAAAAAAAATTTGGTGATCACATTGCTTCATTCTAAGAACTTTCTTTTTTTTTTTCATTTTGATTGAAGTATAGTATACAACTGAAAAGTGCACATAAAGTACACACACTGAGTTTTTCACAAATTGAACATGTTTGTGTAACAGTGTCTGCAAGAAATGGACTGTTTACCAACACCTGGGAAGCCCCCCCTTCTGCTTCCTTGCAGTAGTTGTCCCCACCCCCCACCAAGGGCAACCCCAGCCTGACTGAAGAACACATAGTAGGTTGGCCTTTTGTTGTCTCTGGCTTCATTTGCTTGACGTTTTTTTCGAGATTCATCCATGTTGTTGCGTGTAGTTATGTATTATTTCTTCTCATTGCCATGTAGTATTCCCTTGTGTGAAAATACCCCAGTTTGTCTGTCCTACTGTTGATGGGTGTGGGGTCATGTCTTAGTCTTCTCATGCTTCTGTAATAAAAAATACCACAAGGGGGTGGCTTTAAAGAACAGAATATTATTTTTTTTCACAATTCTGGAGGCTAAAAGTCCAAATCAGGGTCCCACCTAAGACACAGCGGAGACCCTTTCTGTGGGCCTGTTTCCTAGTTTCTTGTGTCTTTCAGCAACCCTTGGCATTCCTTTGCTTGGAGATGATCTTTGCTTGGTGACTGTCTTCCCTTGTGTGTGTGTCTGTCTATTCTGCTGTTTTTGTAAGAAATCTCTCAGAAGTGGTTGGTTTAGGACCCACCCTAGACTGGTATGACCAATAACATTCCAAAAGAAAACCCTGTTTGCAAACAGGGTCATATTTAAAGGTACGTAGGTTAGGACTTAAACATGACCTTTTGGAGGGCACAACTTAATCCATAACAGGTAGTTGCCAATGTTTAGCTATTAGGAACAGTTTTGCGATAAACATTCTGGTATGTGTCTTTTGGGGAACCTTTCTGTTGGGACTGGAATTGCTGGCTCACAGTTATGCCAAGTTTTTTGAAGTGGTTGTATCAATATAAACTCATAAGCATTGCGGGAGAGTTCCTATTGCTCCATACTGTCAATTGATACTTTCTTTTTCATTTTGGTCGTTTTGGAGGATGTATGATGGCATTGCCTTGTACTTTTAATTTGTATTCCGCTGATGATTAATGAAGTTGGGTTACTGGATATTTGTATCATCGGGCATGTCCACACTTTTGCATATGATCATCATACTACTGTCAAGTGTCTGTTCTAGTCCTTTGCTCATTTTTCTATAGAGTTGTCTTTTTCTTTATGGATTCTTTAAAAATGGGAATAAAGTCCTTTGCCAAATTATTTAAATAAACCCCATGTCTGTATGGCTGCAGTATTATGTCATTTTTGTAGAAACACTAGCATTTGTGTAAAGAAGAATATTGCTTTAAAATACCATTTTTATCTTTATTTTCTTCTAAGTCATATTTCCAAGGGGTGGTGGCGGTGTTTTTTTTGCTGTTTTGACACAGAGTTAACTACCTTTTCATCTTCCCCTTAAGTTTCCTCCCCTGCACTGTAGGTGGAGCACCCCCGACACAGTTCCACAAATCCCTTTCTGGTTTCCATGTCTCAGGGGTAGGGACTCCGTTCTTGCATGTCAGCCACTCCATATTCAGTGCTCTCCTTATAAGTCAGAAACCATGGATTTAAAAGACCTCTCCAGTTTCTTTTCACTTCAGTGGATAGCACTAG